AAAGGCAGGGTAGATCTGTTGTCTGAAGACCCACACAACAAGAGGCGCGAGCCTCTCCCGATTGGGACTGACGGGTGCGAGCCCACGGCAGATGCAGCAGGGCCAGGATGAGCAGGAGAGGCAGGCAGGAGCGGCAGGCGGCGTTGGACTGCCAGTTTGGCCCAATCCCTGCAGGCCACGCCAAGGGACTCCACAGTGCACGAATCCGTGCACCGGGCCTCTAGTAAAATACTGAATGTGTATACACCTAACAACAAAGCTTAGAAACCCAGGAAGCAAAAATTGACCAAACTAAAAGGAGAAACAGACAAATCTACCATTATAGTTGGAGGGATAGAGAAATACAGGGAGTTGAAGAGATAGAGACATAGAGGGAGAAAGAAACAGGGACAGAGCCTGGGAGATGGAGGTGGCTGGACCGTAAGAGGCTGATGAACCTGAGACAGGGAGGAAGGAGATGGAGCACCCCCTGGACCAGACAGGGAGGATCAGGGGCTCTGGCCACAGGGGCTGAAGCCAGAGCAGGGGTCTGTGCCCGTAGGATCCTGAAGGGGGAGCTGCAGGGGGGCAGCCTCACTCACCCGCTGTCCCATGGAGCCTTGGGGGCCTGGCTCTCCACGCAGTCCCTGTGTGGGAGGGAGGAGAGGGACGGAGTCAGCTGTTGGGGTGTCTGACCCAGAGCCCCCAAGCCTCCCCAGACCCCTCCATCCAGGGCCCATTCAGTACTCACTCTCTCACCCTTTTCTCCTGGGTGGCCAGAGATTCCTTGGGGTCCAGTGGGGCCTGGGGGTCCCTGAGCAACAAGACAGGGCTTCAGCCTTGAGCTGGGGCAGGGTAGAGCGGGCGGGGACTTGGGGGGCAGAGGGGTTGGGGTGAAAGCTCCAGCTTGGCCTGGGCCTCTGTGCCCTTCACACATCCAATGGCAGGTACACAGAGGGACGTGCACACAGCCCAGTGTTCACAACTCTGGCCCTGGAACCAGACAGTCCCCACCCTGATCTGGAAGTCGCCATGGGCTGGCCACAGCCCTGGGAAGTTATCGCCACCTCTCTTGGCCTTAGGTAATAGCAACAGTGCTTCTTGTTACATGGAATGAACAAGAAGCTTTAGGAAAAGTAGTGTGTCTACTCGGTGCTCCATAAATGCTCGAATGAAGGAATGAAAGGATGGATGGGTGAGTGGACAGATGGGAAGACGAGTGAGAGTACTTAGAGAAATACTCACTGTATGGCCAGGACTCCCGGGGATGCCCATGGGACCAGGAGGTCCAGGGGGACCTGGAATAAGACAGGATATCCTAGAGACTTGCCTTTGGGTGGTGAATGCACAATACAATATACAGATGATGTATTACAGAATGACACCTAAATCCTATGTAATTTTATTAACCAATGTCACCCCAATAAATGCAATAAAAAAAAAAAGACAGGATATCCTCAGGACCAATGCAGAGTACAATGGCAGGAAGTCTACCATCAACTCCCTCCTGACAGCCACAGCGCTAGTCGCTAGTTACTCTGACATCCCTCAACCCCACCCTGAACCCCAGGCCTGGACTCAACTTACCAATAGGCCCTGGGGGCCCAGGGGGCCCAGCCGGTCCCTGGGGCCAGTGGCTGCTGCTCTCAGTGAAGGTGTTAGACAGAAATGGGTCCCCTGCAGGAGGAAAGATGAGGAATGGGCAGGGCTGGGTGGGGTGGGGCTTGGGCAGAGAGGGGCAGGCCTGGAGGTCCCCTTTCTCCAGGGATACCCACAGCTCCAAGCTGGCTATGACTGCCCTGTGGGACATGGGGGAGATGGGGGGTGGGGAGAGTGTTGGCTACACAGGCCCAGAAGGCAGAGAGACCTGGGTTCTAACCCTGCCACAGTCTAGCTGTGACATCCAGTAAGACTCTCCACCTTGCTGGGCCTGTACTGTCACATGTCCAGTGGGAATAATAAGAAAAGCTACCCTTTATTGGACCACCTACGTTGAGCCAGGCTTCTGTGCATGAGTGTCACAGAGCTCTGGGAGGTCAGCACTGTTGTTATTCCCATTGTACAGATGAGGAAACTGAGGCTTGGAGAGGGAGAGCGGATGGTGAGACGGAATGAAGGGGAGAATGAGTGGATGGGGCACCAATATGACGCAGATGGGGTTGAACCTGGCACTCCAAGCTCTGACCCTCTGGCATCACACATGTCGGTTAGGCTGGGGAGGCGGTGAAGGATGAACGGGGCCTAGCTGGGTGAGGCGGCCGGAGCTTCTCTGAGCACAGGGGCAGGGCTGTGGCCTTGGGAGCTCAGGGCTCACTTCCTGCTGCTGGGCCTTGACCTTGCCTGTGCTCGGAGGGCTGGCTCCTGGCCAGCTCCAAGGCTTGGCGGCCGGGCCTGAGGCCAGGTGGCTCCAGCACAGGCTCAGAGGGCGCCTGGGTGTGAAGCCAGTCCCCATGCCCTGGCTGTGTGGTCTCCCCTCTCTGGCCCTCAGTTTTCCTCATCAGTGAACAGAGGAGGACAACAGCGCCCGTCCGAGGACTGGGTGACATGTGGCTGACCAAGAGCAAGCTCTGCAAGTGCCCGGTAGACAGCAGTAACATTGTGGTGATGCCTTATGCCAGCCTCACCACCCTGGACCTGCTGTGACCCAGAGGGACTCACCATGCTCAGAGATCCGGGAGTGGGGCGGTCCAACGGGGGCTGGGGGGCCGGGGGGCCCAGGAGGCCCTGGGGGGCCTGGAGGTCCCCTTTCTCCAGGGATGCCCACAGCTCCGTCCTGGCCAGGGCTCCCTGGGGGGCCCTGTGGACCTGCAACGGAACCAGGGGGATGAGAGGGTATGCAGGAGGCAGAGAGGCCCCGGGCGGCTGCCAGGGGCAGGACAAGGCAGCCTGGGGCAGCGGGGATGAGGGCTCTGGAGGCCACAGGCCAGGGCAATTCCTGGCTCTGACTTCCCTGGCCCTTTATTAGGAGAGAAAACACAGCCCTCCCTGGGGCGTTAGGACAATGGACACTTGGTGCTCAGTAAATACTGACTTCCGGAATGTTTCCAGAATGTTCTTCTTTCCCTTGTTGCATGTGCCTTTCCCTCTTTATAGCAGTCCTCCCTCTGCTATTCCTGGTGTACCCTCGGGTCATCCTTTAGGCCTCACCTGAGATGTCACTCCCACCAGGAAGCCCTCCCCGCCCCCACCCGATCCAGGCTGGGTCTGGGATCCCTTCCTTGGGGCTCACTTACCTGCAATGTCCCCATCACAACCCTGGTCACCTGGGTGGACACTGCTGTTTCTCTTCCGCCCAGGTCTACCCTTCCCCATCGGGGCGCTCCAGGAGGGCAGACTGGACTGACCCTCCCCCCTCCCCCCGCCCAGAGCCTGCTGGGAGTAGCTTCCCAGAGAACACGGGCCACGTGAATACAAAAGAGGGTTTCGAGGAGCCCAGGCCTGAGTGGGGCACCCTGGGACGGTGGCGAGTGAGACAAGCAAGTGGCAGGGGCCCGGGCCACCCCTGGCTATGTCAGGGTCGGGGAGGAATCTCAACCTGGGTCCACGGGAGGGGGGGGTCTGGCCAGGAAAGTTAGGGGGGCAGTGCCGTGGACACTCACCTGGGGGGCCTCTCATTCCTGTTGGGCCCCGGCTGCCAATGTCTCCCTTGGGGCCAATGGGCCCGGGAAGTCCCCGGGCACCAACTCGGTCTGGGGGAGAAATCTCATCAGCTCTGGCCTCCTCCTGCCCCGACCCCGGCCCCCCAGCCAGCACCTACCATCTCGAGGGAGCAGCGGGGCCCTCGGGGTTTCTCTGGCTCCGGGCAGCCCTGGAGTTGGGGGGGGGGCTGGGTCATCCAGGGTCCCTGCCCTTAGTGCCACCAGAGGAGGTGGGGGCAGGTCTGCTGGGCCTCCCAGGACCCCAGAGAGATCAGGGACGACCCAGGCCCACAAGGGGGAGGAGCTGGGAGCCGGCAGAGTAGAGACTGGCACCTCATTCCCACGAGGGAGTGTGCTCCGCACCGACCCACTCACCTCGGAGGTCTCCATCTCCAGGGCTGCCCTGGGCAGCTGGGGAGCCCCAGAGAGGGGCGGGGTCCTCGGGGGCAGCTGGGGTTGGGGGCACCTCCTGCTGGGTGACAGTCAGCACGGCCACCTTTGGAGAAAGAGGGAGAGGAAGAGAGATGGATGGGGTGGGTACCAGGGCCTCACCAGGGACAGGCCAGCTGATGGGCCGCAGGCTGGGGCGTGCAGGAGGCAGCCAATCAATGATTCTCATCATTGATGTTTCTCTCTCTCTCTCCCTTCTTCTCTGAAATCAATTGAAAATACGTATCTAAAAAAATGGAGGAGGTGTTCACAGCTGTCCAGTATTCCACAGCGGCTTGCTCCCTCATAATGCAACCAACCCCTCCTGTTCTCTGGTTTTCAAATTTCCCGGTGAACAGCGAACACTTTGGTAAACATCGTCACCTCTAATCTCCTTAAGATAAGCTCCCAGAGGAAGGAATAACGGAGGAGAGGGTGTGCAGGCAGAGTGTATGCCTCTACACGATCTGGGAGGAAGATGCTTACATGTGGACGGCCCCTCTCCAGGGCCACAGGCGTGGCTGCGAATGGTGTTTGGGCAGGTTTATCACGGTGCTGAGTTTTTTATGTTTCTGAAAACACGAGGGTCTTACTTTTTAATTGTTCAAACCTTTTTGAAAGAATGTTTGAGATGTGCAAGAGATGATCGGCTTTTGAAACTGGGCGATGGGGGATAAAGGATGAAGGTGATGGGGCAAGGAGGAGCCTCGCCATGAACCCTAGGGGTGTCTACAAATATCTGGCTGGGATGGGAATGGGGGTGCAAGTGGGGGGAACTTCGTGGGACTCCTGGAAGAAGAGCAGGCTTCCCGGGCAGGGGCACGGTGGGAGAGGCCAAGAGAGCTGGCTGGGGACAGACGAAAGGGTGGGGGGTGGCCGGCAGGGAAGCTGCCTGCCCATGGATGCTATGAGCATGGGGTGCAGAGAGGGGGTGGGAGGCTGGGGATGAGGGGACAGCTGCTCACCCACCTTGGCCTCCAGCACCTTCAGCCGCTCTGCCAGGTCTGACACCTTGCTGCAGTTGACACAACCTGGAGGCAGGACGGAGGAAGCGAATGGACACCTGATGACCCTCACCCAGGAGGCAGCCCAGCCCAGGGGAGACGCTGCAGGAATGGCCTGTTTAGGGGGACCATGCCCTGCAGGCTTCTCCCAGAGCAGGACCAGGGAGCCAACTCCTGCAGCCTTGGCATCCAAAACGACTCCTTTCCGGGAAGCCGGGCAGGAAATCCTGTGGCTTCACCTGGGCGGGGCTGCCTGGGCTTGCTGGACACATTAGCGTCTGGAACGGGCTGGCCTCAGGTGCCACCCCCTGACCCTCCCTCCAGAACCATGTCCGGCGCCTGCAGCCTCCTGGGCGATACCCCTTGTTATTCATGACAGTTCTGGCTGGTTACTGAGCCTCCTGGTGGCCGGGCACTGTTGATCCTGTGCTTTAGGACAAGGGCCACCCCCATTCACACCTGAGGACACTGAGCTCAGAGCGAAGGGGGACGAGTGTGTAACAGGCACAGAGTCTCAGCGCTGCCCCTTCCCGGCGATGGGGCCTCCGGCAGGGCACGCCCTCTCTCTGACCCTCAGCTTCCTCCTCTCTAAGATGGGGACAGTGATGCTTTCCTGGGGGACAGGGACACGACTCTGAGGTTTAAACAGGTTGTCATGGAAAGCACCTGGCCCGGTGCCTCTCACAGTGCAGAGGCTCAGGGAAGCTTAGTTTAAATAAAAAGAGGAGCCAGCCGGCGGCATGGCTCCGTGGTTGAGCGTCGCTAAGAACCAGGAGGTCACGGTTCAATTCCCGGTCAGGGCACATGCCCGGGTTGCGGGCTCCATCCCCAGTGTGGCGAGTGCAGGAGGCAGCTGATCCATGATTCTCTCTCATCATTAATGTTTCTATCTCTCTCCCTCTCCCTTCCTCTCTGAAATCAATAAAAAGTACACATGGCTATGAAAAGAGGAAACTGGGGGTGTGGACCTGTGTCTGCAAGAGTTTGGGGTCACGGTCTCCGGGTGGCTGGGCCCAGGTCAGACTCTCCTCAGGGGCCCTTCCTCTCCCCCTCAAGGTGTTCTTTGCAGCCTGGGACAGGCAAGGGCAGGGCGCTCTCCTGACCCCGCACAGCTGGACCCAGATAGCTTTTCGGGCAGTCACCACACTGTGGGGGCCCCTGCCAGGCCTCCCCTAGCCCAGGGGCACCCCCCGCAGCTGCCCCAGGACCCACCTGAGAAGGCTGTGGGCCGGAGCATCATCCGCCGCATGGCGTTGCCTGACCACCTGGGCTCCACGAAGCCAGAGGAGCCTGCAACTGAGGGACAAGTAGGGATGAGAGCCCTGCTGGCCCGGCCATCCTTGTTTGGTCAGAGCCCCTGCCCCACCTGCCCCTCGAGCCCCAGCAGGGATCTCTACTCCCCTTAGTGCAGAGGTAGACAGAGGCCCAGAGAGGTGGGGCAGTTTACACCTGGGTCACACGGCGTGAACAAGGCTGCCAGCCTGATGGGGCTGGGGAGAGGGGGCTGGCAATGGGTAGGGGCCATGGGAGAGGCTGGGAGCTCCCCAATCACCCCGACGAGCTGCCTGTGTTAAAAGCTTAGCGGTAACAGATGCAAGGTTGGGTCCCAGTCCTGTCACTTGCTGACCTTGTGTGACTTGTTCTCTCTGAGACTATTTTCCCATCTGTAAAATGGGGCCATAAGGCCACCCTATCTCCCAGGTTGGTGCGAGGGCCGAGGTCGGCGATGTGGGCACAGGGCCCGCACACCAATAAATGGCAGCGGCGACACTGGCAGCGGCGACATTGCTGTCCACCCTCTCCCTGCCCCACTTGGTAAGAAGACACTGAAGGGAATCCAGACCCGGTTTTAAATGAAAAACAGAGGGAGGCCGGCTGCCTGGGAGGGCACGGGAGGCCCGTTCCCGGAGCCCACCCCTGTCACCACCCCCACCAGGAGCAGGCTGCCTGGCTGGTCTGGTTTTGGGGGGCCTGGTTTTCTCCACAGCTGGAGGGATGGGCTGGCCAAACCGGGTTGGGCGGGCGGGGGTGCAGCTGGAGGGGCTCTGGAGCCAGCAGGGCAACTGCTCCCCTCTGCCCCCCGGGCCTGCCTTTTAAGGCCGCGGAGTAGTGTCTGGGGGGAGACAAGATCCAAATAAGGCGCAGCCCTGGCAGCTCAGAGCCAGGCTGTGGGCTGGTGCAGGGAGTGAGAGGCGCCAGGAACTCAAACCAGACGGGTCCCTCCGGCCAGACCCCAGCAGGGAGGCTGCCAGACCCAGCTGGGTCCCACCACGGCCTGAGCCGAGGCTGGGCCTGCGTCACCAGCACCCCCTCCCCAGGGACCTGTGACTTGCCCTGGCGCAGGGGGTAAAGCTCACCCAGGATGGAGGAAGGAGGGTTGGCGGCCTAGGACGGGGGCAGGGAGTGGAGACTCTATGGGCAGGAGGGGGTGCCATGGCCAGCACTCAGTGTTTTACGTAGCCCAGCTCAATCCCACAAGGTAGGTAATAATCATAATGTCACAGCTCACAGGGACTCAGCACTCATGCTGGGCCTGGCCCATTCTGAGCACTTCACGTGGACAGTCTGAGCTCATTATCCTCAAAGCCCTGTGAGTGGGTGCTTATCTCACCTCCACTTTACAGATGGGGAAACTGCAGCCGGGGGAGCCTGCCCCATCGCCCCTGGTGACGCAGCTCTATGGCCCCAAGGTCATGTCACAGACCGAGGGGGGCAGTCACCATCAGGGGAAACGGCTGGGGAGCCCGCCCAAGCCTGGCTGTCATGTCGGAGGAAGGGAGGGCCCGGGATGGGCCAGCAATGTCCCATGCGTCCTCACTCCCACTCCCAGGCCCAGCAGAGAGAGCACTTTTCCGGAATTTCCAGGCCTGGGCTTCCCTTTCCTCAGCTCCCACCCCGTGGGAGGGGAGAGGCCGACCCTTCCCAGCCCATCAGATATCACGCAGTGCCCACCTGGGCCCCTGCACCCTCTGCAGGGTTTTCACTGCTTCGTTTCACCCTCACAACATCCCTGGGAGGCAGACTCTCTTATCCTGACCGTGTCACAGGTGAGACCCTGAGGCTCGGGGCAGGGGTGCCCGGGCTGCTGCAAGAGCAGCCTGGTACCCGTTAGCGGAGGCGCCCTGCCCTCAGAACGGGCAGGAGACGGTGCTGCTTGAACGGCAGCCTCCCGCGCCCTGCACGGGCCCTTGCACAACCGCTTGCACAATGCTCGGGGAGTCCCCGGCCCAAGGCCACAGCTGGTGGAGGTGGCGCTGGCCTGGCCCACAAAGCCCGGGACAACCCCGTCCCCAGGCTGGGGCCTGAAGGCCCTGCAGAGGCAGCTGGCAGCCGTCAGGGCTGGCCTGGCCCATCCCGTCGTGTACCCCTGCCTCACGGGTGCCAGAGCTCCCAGCCCTTAGCCTGGTGCCTGGATGCACGGCCTCCAGCTGCTGGACCCAAGGGTGTGGGTGCTGCCCCCACCTTGGCTCTGCCCTCCATGATGGCCCCACAGGCCTGAGAAGGACTGCCCTTAAGAGGGGAGCCAGGGACGGGGTGGCTTTTATCTGGGTAGGCCCTGCCTTGGCTCAGGCCCTCTAGGCCTCGGTGGCCCCCACACCCTGGGGATTTGCCCCTCCCCACCTCCAGCTCCCCCGGCCTCCTGGGCAGCAGCCCCTCCTGGCTGGCTCTTCTCCTGGTCCCCGGGTCCCGCCTTCCCCTCTTCCTCCCCGCAGGGAGCGGAGGGTGCCGCTCCTGGCTCCCCTCACGCTTCCCTTCCTGGCCTCCCACAGGGGCCTTGTGGCTGCCTCTCCCTCTCCATACAGGACCCCCAGGGGCCTCTGCTGCCCCCTCTGTGAACCGGGGCTGCCGTGGGGTCCCAGGGAGGTGACGCCTGTCAGTCTTTCAGGAAGCACCTCTGGATGGTGACTTCCGTTAGCATCACGGACCCTTGATGCGGAGGCCGTGTCTCACACGCCGGTGCTTCTGGCATCAGAACGCGTCCCGCAGCTGATGTTCACAGTCACATGCTGCCCGGGGGCCCGAACGCCTTTCCACCAGGTGCTCACGGGCCTGGTTCTCAGGCTGGTTCCAGGCCATTCTTGGAAACACAGCCCTTGGTGCCCGAAACCTTCCTCTCCTCGGGTTCAGCCAGGCGGCAGGGGTGGGAGTGGCCTGGACCACTTACTTAGCAGCGGGGCAGGTGCCCATGTGGCCAGGCTGCCTCCTCCGTGCCCCTGGGGGTGCTCTGCCCCAGCCGCCCTCATGGCATGCAGAGAAGTGGGGTGGGGCGAGCCTGGCACACACTCCACACGGGAGGCACCCATCTGAGCCCTCCCATCCCTGAGGCCCTCTGGGGAGACAGGCTGACCGGGGCTCCCATCCTGACCCCCCCTCAGGAGCCGTGGGCCCACCGCCTTCCTGAGCCTGTTTCCTCCAGCAGGAAGGGCATGACCGTCCCCACCGTGCTGACCCACTGACCTCAGTGGCCCTTTGCTTCCATGACCTGTTCCCACAGCCCGTGGGCAGGTCTGGGTGCTCCCATGTTTGGAAGAAAGGCTCGGGGTGGTGTGACTGCAGACACGAGCTACGCAGCATGTATTACGTTTCTCCAGGGGCCGAGAGCCTCCCCCGAGGCAGGCGGTCAACACCCGTGGGACAGCGGGCACCAACTATATCCGAGCCAGGCCTCGCTGGCAGCTCTGTGCGGGGGACCACAGCGGGCACGGCACCGGACACTGCGGTGTCTACGACTGAGCAACAGTGTACTGCTCCCCCCAAGCACCTCGGGAAGCATGAGGCCCGAACCCGGGGGCAGTCCTACCTTCCTCGCAGCTGGCCCCCGAGTGCCCGGGGCAGCACCTCCACTCCCGGGCGGTCACTGTCTTGTACATCACCTTGTATGTGGGTCTCACCACGGTTCTGTAGCTGAAAGAATGCCGACAGGGCTCTCTGCTGTTTCTCCCACTGTCTGGTCCCCAGGGTCTTCTGTCCCCCCCGCGCCCCCCCAGGTCCTGTTGGAGCCTCTCTCCTGCGTTCTAGGATTCAACCCTTCTATTACTTCCCAACCGTCCAGCCTTGGGGATCTGGATACCAACTGGACAGGCAGCCCCTGCACGTGGAGCCGCCTGTCCCTAGCAGTGAATGCTCCCTGAGTGAAGGCGTGTGGGTGAATGGTGGAACCCCTCCTCCAGGAAGCCCTCCAGGGTGCCCCACGAACACAAAGGGAGGTACTGAGAATGGGCATAGGGCTCCCTTTGCTTCACCCACCCTGGGGCCCCAGCCTTCCCCTGCACACCCACTGCACTCCCACCACCAGGCCTCTGCCCATGCTGTGCCTCCACCTGGGATGCCACCCGCTCGGTCTCACTCACCTGTTGCCCGGGCAGCTCATGGGCCAGGGGCAGTTCTGCAGCACTCGCTGAAGGTACGTGCCGTTCTGCACGTGGCATGAGATGGTGCGGGTCACCACGTACGAGCACCAGTTCCTGAAACAGACCCACAGGGAGGACGCTCGGTCCCACGCGCAGCCAGGCCCCTGCCCGGGACCCCCGGAGGGTGAGTGAGGAGCACTGTGTTCTCTCCAGGACCCCCGAGTTCTCAGCGCCCTCTGGGCCCCGTGGGAGTCTGTGCTGCTGTGGCTGAGAAGTGGATCCCACAGCCCTAGAGGGGTGGCTGTGCTGGGGTCTCTCAGGGAATGAACTTCAGGGTACAAGATGGGAGCAGGTGTCTTTGAAGGGCCTTTCCCTTCTCAGCATTTCTTCTCTCCAACCCTGACCCGACCAGGCCCCCAGTGCCTCCTGCCTCCCACCTGGATAACAGCAGCGGGCCACTCCATCCTGCCCTTCAGTCTCCCTCCAGAGGGAGTATCATAAAATGGAAACCTGGGCTGGCCTACCCCCACCCTCAGCCCTAGGCCTTAGATCCCTCACCTCCAGGCCTTTGCTCATGCTGGGCCCACTGCCCCGAGCTCCCTTCCCCCACCTCCCACCCTCACAGCTGCTGTGCTGTCACCTCCCCCTCCCTATCCCACCTCCACCTCCAACTGAGCCCTGCCCCAGTCCGCAGCCCTTGGTAGCTTGTCACGCTGAGTTAAGCTGGTGATTCACCTCTGCCCGCTCCTCCCTGGCATGGGAGAGGAGAGGCCCCGTCTCCCTTATCCTTGTGCCCCCGCTGCATGCCAGGCGGGAGGTACACCGTCCCAGGCATGGAGAACTGACCTCTCCAGAGGCTAACTCATCATCCTATTGCACTGCATATATTGAGCACCTTCTGTATGCTAAGGATATTGACATCCTTTTCCCACAGTGATCCAGGAAGGCACCCCCCGCCCATTATACAGAGGGGTACCCTTGAGGCTCGGGGAGGGGGGAACAACTGTCCATGTCCCAGAGCCGGTGCAGGGTGGAGCGGATTTGAAGCCAGGAATCTGGACGGCCCAGCTTGGCCCTAACTCCATCTCCAAGGCCTCAGTTCCTGTCTCCTCTCCGGTCCACGGCTCTGTGAAGGCCCAGCCTGGGAACCTGCTGACCCCGGGCTTCGGGTCACAAAGGAAAGTCTGGTGGGGTGTGTGTGTGTGTGTCGGCGGGGGGGCTCAGGCTGAGAAGGGTCACTGAAACAGTCCCTCCCTTCCCAGCCCTGGCAAAAAACGCCGGGTCCCTGACCCCGTGCAGGGCTGGGGCCACTGAGCGCCGGGAATGTCCCAGCCCCAGCAGAGGTGCCCGCCCCACTGAAATCCACCCCCTAACCGCTGCCCCGCCCCCACCCAGGCCCACCTGGAGGAGAGAGGCCTCGGCCAGGGCCACTCTACTACCCTGGGAAAGTCCCTTCACCGTCTGTGTCACCTGGAATCAGTCCAGGAGGAGGGAACAGCTTAGCTGAAGGCATGGAGGTGGGAGAGCAGGGAGAAGGGGCGGCAGGAGCCCAGCAGAGCCATGGGCCAGCCACTCCCCGGGAGGGGGGACAGGCGCTGGCCGCAGTGCACACCTGGGAGCAGCCTGAACAGGACCACGAGACACGGCTGCTGTGGGAGAGCCCGAGGCCTCGTGTACAGATCACTAGGCCTGTGCAGACCGCAGAGAAAGACTGCACTTCTATGTACTAAGAAGAGAAGGGAAAGCAAAACACTGTTTACCCATGGACGCACAGGAATGGCTTTGTGCGCATCAAGTTAGGCCAAGTCACACGCCCACATCAAACGGCCACCTCTGGGGGCACAGAGGGGCTTTCCCTGGATCCCCTCTCCTGTGCTCACAGCAGCCACATGCCCGAGTATAAGCCCCACTTTACAGGTGGGAAGACTGAGGCTCCAGGGTCTGGGAAGTGCCCTAGGCACCCGTGATGAGTGACACAGTCATGGTTGGAACTCAGGTCTGTCTGACTCCAGAGCTGGTGGTCTTAACCTTACGCTGGAAATGTTTTTCCCAACGAGCAGATGGGGGTTTTATAAGTTTAAGGAGGTACCTTTCCAAAAGGCCCCCCACCCTTAGAGCCTTTGGGTCCCTAGAACGGTGGCTTTAAACCTGTTGGGGTTGTGTTTGGGGGGAACATAAGCCCCTTTGGGAAAGTGATGTGAGGTGTGGCTCCTCCCCAGAAAAATGCATGAAATGTGGGGTACACGTTCAGGGGGGCTCAGGGGCTCTGGGAAGCCGGTGAAGTGCCCCAGGCTGGCCCAGGGGCCTTGTGAGCGAAGGAAGAAGGGAGAGAGGGAGCACCCTGGGCAGAAGACAGAGGCTCCAGACACAGGAGGGGGCCCCGGGCACAGAATGAGGACCACATGCCAGTGGACAGACACGTACGCATCATACATACAGGCAAACACAGACGCACACATCAGTATGCACACGCAGTGAGCATAAGACACATACGGACGCACATGCACACAGACGCACTCACATATGCTTATGTGCATACAACTCCCATGTACATACACACAGACCCACATAGGACACACATATACACACAGTCGAGCACACAGTCAGACCAAAGCAAATCCTACAAAAAGGACTATCCTCTTTGCATGAGGGCCCACACCTGCAGAGACGGGGCTGTGCGCCCTCACACGTGGACCTGGACCGCACCGGGGCAGATGGCCTGTGACTGCCCACCGCTGCCCGAGCTGCCCTCTGTGGGGAGCTACAGGAAACAATTTTTTCCTTCTCCTTCCTTAATCAGGATCTCCCCCTGTGGGGTGCTGCATGCCCCCCTGGGTTATTTCCCACGGGTTGGAGTTTGCTTGAATTCTCTGCTTAGGAGACATGGAGCTGGTGGCCCGCTAGCGAGACAGTTTAGAGAGAAGGGGACACTCGGGCCAGATGGGGTGCAAGGTCAGTCCGTCATCCCCTCTCTCTGGGGCGTCACCAATAACCATGCCTCACCCCGCCCCGGCCTTGAAGACCCAGCCCCACTGTCCCCGGGATGAGCCTGAGCTCCCCTCCAGGGTCCCAGCCTGGCCCCGCTGCCCTCCGGCCCCTCCGTCCACGTTCCAGGCAGCAGAAGCTCTTTGTAAAGCACAGACCTGAGTCCCCACCCACCGTGGCTCCCACGGCCCCGCGAGCCCTGCCTGCTCCGCACCACATGCTGCTCCCCCCCATACGCTGCTCCCCTCTCCCCACTCCCGCGGCCCCTCTTTGACCTTCCTGCCCCTCCTCCCCTCTGCTGCACCTCACATCTGTGTACACTCCTGCTCTCCGGCAAACCCCTATTCATCACTGGGGTCTCAGTCCTGAGGACCCCAGCAGAGTTGGGCACCTCCAGGGGTCGCAGCAGCCCCTGAGTGTCTGGGGGAAGGACGTGCAGCTGGGATGGGGTTCAGGTGAGGGTGCGCAGAGAGGTTTGCTGAATGACTGAGCGTTGTGGCCCTGGGTCCCCAGAGATGTCTGCCGCCCCTGGAACCCCTGTCTCAGTCCTGATGCCCCTTGGGCTTCCTTTCCTGGGGTGTGGTGGGTGATAAGCTGTCCGAGAACCTCCCGAGGCTGGGCCACCACCTGTGGGACGGGCAAGGGTGAAGGGGCGGGAGGAGGCAGCCCTTCTCTCCTGGGCCTGCCACTCCAGAGGCCACTGGGGGAGAGAAAACAGGACAGACCAGCTCAGCCTGGAACCAGCTGTCCCCACTAACCTCCCCCCCCCCTCCACCCCCTTGCCATGAGGGGCCCAGGGGACTTTGTCTCGGCAGGGCCCAGGGCTATGATCCGGAACAGAGATAGGGGCTAATTGCAGGAGGCAGCCAAGCGGGCTGGGGGCCAAGGGCGGTTATGAAAAGGAGAGGAAAGAAAGGAGACGTACAGGGTGGGGGTGGGGTGACTGGAGCCAGAACCCTCTGCTGGAGGCGACGTTCCAGTCCTAGCCCTGCTGATTCCTAACTCGGTGACCTTGGACAAGGCCCCGAACCTCACCTTGCCCATCTGCAAATGGGGACAGCAGGTCCTCCTCCAGCCTCGCTGGCTCACGTGCTAACAGCCCTTGGTGGTTCTTGTTCCTGGACTATGACACTGGCCCCCCAGCCCACAGCTGTGGCCCAGGGCCTTCCCTGGGCGTGCGGACACCAGCCCCGTACCTTCACCATGAAGTCCGCCCCTTGACTACAGGGTAGGGATGGTCAGGCTCTGCATGTTACAGAGGGGGAAACTGAGGCTCCGAGAGAAAGCACCCATCCGGGTCACGCATGTGGGGGTGGAGCTGGGATCTGAGCTCTCTGGAGAAGAGCTGGGAAGAGAATTCCCCGCTCTCCTGGGTCCTAGGATGTGCCCACAGGAAGCCAGTACTGCAGGCAGAAGAGGCCTGGCCAGGACACTGGGGATGGCTTTAAGTCTAGGCGAGGGTTCAGGCTGGAAGAGACCCCAGAAGGGCAGGAAGCAGGCCCAGCAGGGATTGGGGGACGGACAGGGGTAAGGGGTGAGCCAAGCCAGCTCTGCACAGCCCCAGGGCACCCTGGTTCTGGGGGGTGGGGGGGTGTCTCAAAGTCTCACCGCATTCCTGGGGCTGGGGGCGGCCTCTTGGATGCCTTCCCGGGCCTCCCCCTCCCCAGGCACAAAGCCTCTTTTCTGCCTCTTGTCCCTCGGCTGCCAAGGGGTGCCTGGGGCGCCGGGCTGGGGGTGGAGGGAGGGCTGATGGGGCGAGACATCCCCATGCTGTCTCCAACGATGCTGGGCTGGGGCCACAAGGGGAAGTCCTGGCAGGGAGGCCTGCGGATTCCTCCAGCCAGGGGTCCCTTCCCCCACCTAAGGCTGGTGATCGCAGGAACCACTATGTCGGGGCCCCGGCGGGTCCTTTGTTCATCCTGACAGCCGGCCTGGGAGCAGGGGACGAGGGGAGCAGAGAGGGGAACAGTGAGGAAGCTGCGGAGGAAAGCGAGAGACCGGGACCTGCCTCAGGTCGCACAGGGAGTGGGGGGGAGAGCCAGGGCCGGGACCTCTCGCGCCTCACCATGACCCACCAACCTTTCCCAAACCTGCCAGCTGACGACCTCTGCTGGGTCAAAGGGACCCGGGATGTGGGATCTGAGGGCCTGGACTGAGGTGCCTCTCCTCCTCTCGAGGCCTCAGTCTGTATCATGGAGCCACAGCACTGCCCCGGGGGTTCTGTGATGCTCAGGCCACGGTGAGCCTTCTGTGAGCTGATAGGGCGACAGTCCCCAGACACCACCAGATACCGACCCGCAGCCACATCCTGCTCCCATCCAAACCCTGGAGGGGGGGGGAGGTGAGGAACCCAGGTTGGGAGGCCTTGTTCTGGACTTAAGTCCCCTGGACCATCATCCCGATCCTGACGACGGGAATTCCCAGGTCAGAGTCTCAGTCATCTTAGCACCTGGGACCCTGGGGGCTCACATCCCTGTGCTAGGCATGTCATGTCCCCTCTCTGGGCCTCAGTTTCCTCTAAGAAACAGGGGCCACAAAAACGCTTGCCTCCTAAGGCAGTTGGGACGGTTCTGGAAGCGATGGGTGCCGGTGAAATAGCCAGCCCAGGCCTGCGGTGGTCAGCCCGCAGGAGGTGGTGGCTGTGACAGCTGCCACCTGCCCACCCCTACCTCAGACAACGGCTCTTCTAACCCTCAGCCACCTCTCCTCTCCAGCCCTGCCCAGGTCACCTGCTCTTGCTAGCCTAGCGGAGGCATGCTGGCCCCCCTGACCGACCACTCACTGGGCAAGGAGAATTTCTGAAAAGAATTTAAAAAGTGAGGCCTTGGGGGTGGGGGCTGGGCAGGCATTTGAATGCGATGAAAGGGCCTGAAGAGGCCTGGCTACTCTGTATTGTCGCTGAGCTGGCCCCTTAAGAGGGGACAGCAGCAGGGGTAGGGCTGCAGCCAGGACAGGGGCCAGGCAGGTTCAAACAGTGTCATCAGGGCCAGAAAGACACAGATGTGAATCCCAGCTCTCCTATTAATGGCCCATGAGCCTAGTCTAGGCCCTAGAACAGTGATGGCGAACCTATGACACGCGTGTCAGAGGTGACACGCGAACCATTTTTTTTGGTTGATTTTTCTTTGTTAAATGGCATTTAAATATATAAAATAAATATCAAAAATATAAATCTTTGTTTTACTATGGTTGCAAATATCAAAAAATTTCTATATGTGACACGGCACCAGAGTTAAGTTAGGGTTTTTTGCTGACACGCCGGGCTCAAAAGGTTCGCCATCACTGCCCTAGAAGCTCATGTTAATTTTCCGGGACCTCAGTTTGCTCATCTGTTAAATGGGAACACGTGCTCCCAAGCTTCATCCGGTCCTTGAGGGATGGATGCGGACACTGCGTATGAAGGACCCTCTCACTGGAAGATGCCCCACAAACACCAGCAGAGAGAACGCCCCCAGCTCCTGAGAGGGCGGCAGGAAGACAGTACTTCCTCCCTATCTCTGCCCAAAATGCCAGGTCCCTGGGGGCCAGCACTGACCCAGGGGCACTGAAACTCCACCCCAGTCTTCTTCCTCCCAGTGAATAAATAGCCGGGGCTAAAAACAGCCAGGAGCAAGGAAACGGGAGCGCGAGTCCCCGAAGTGTCAGCTGGGGGATGTCCTGGGCTTTCCTATGTGCACGGCAGCGGGTGAAGGGGTGGGGTTGGGGGCAGGGGGGGGGGGGTTCTCCTCATTGTTCCCCTTCCCCCTTCCCCCTCCTCTGGGACTCCGGGGTGAAATGTGGGGGGTGTTGGAGGAGGCTGCCAGGGCTGTCGGTTCCAGACACATGGAGTAGGGGACCCCTGCACTTTGGGGAGCCTCTGCCAGATAGTGGAGCGGCCCAGGATCCCCCCCGCCC